AAAAGACCCTTCCCAGTAATCAAGATCTAAGAAGAAGATACAACAGACAAATGGACTTCCTCATCCTGAGAACCGTGATTGATTTTACCTGATCTGACAAGACAAACAGCATGTTTTATAATTATTGCTTCCATGCTTTGTATACCCTGTTCCTTAGAGTAAATTTTTTACTACCCCTCACCCTCCTTACTTCCTAAACCTCCCTCAATAAATACGCATGTTTTAATAGCCATGGCACGGCAGCCTGGAGCTGGCTCTTGGCTGTGGCCAGCTGAGAACATGCTAAGGAGCAATGAGGTCTCAGTCTAATTTCTGTTCCTGATCACCTGTGTCGCCTTCCTGTGTACGAGCCACTCTCCACTGCCGAGGCTGGACCCCGGCAACTCATGGGCTTCATCCAGGGCCTCTGCCAACCAGGAAGCTCCTCCGTCCCCACCTCCAGGCTCCCGGCCTTCCCTCAGCAATACTCTGAGTCTCACGGTCGGTCGGCTGTGAGGCTGCGGGGAGTCAGATGGTGTTTCTGTCCTATGGCCGCAGTGCTCCTGCTCAAAGGATATCCTCGGCCAGTTTTACTGTGTGTACTAAGTGGGGAGAAAGGCCATTTTAAATACTCTCCAGAATTAAAAACAAGGACGAGAAACATTATTGTCTTTATTTCCAATATGGGACTTTTTTAATCTAAGCAGCTCATTTAGAGGAGGGAGAAAAAAAAATTACATATATATATATGTCTGTATGTGTGTGTGTGTATGTCTGTGTGTATATATATATGTATGTGTGTGTATATATGTATGCGTGTGTGTATGTCTGTGTGTATATGTGTGTATATATATGTCTATATGCGTCTGTGTGTATATCTGTGTGTACATATATGTATGTGTGTATATGTCTGTATGTGTGTGTATGTCTGTGTGTGTATATATGTATGTGTGTGTGTGTGTATATATAGATATAGATATAGATATATTCCAGTATCTTCAACTATAGAAATTAATAAATTATATTAAAGGAATCACCATTATAAATGGAACTCATATAGTCAAGTCAATTCTATTAAAAGAGATCCATATTTGGGGACATGGAGGCTTAAACTAGTAACTAGGACGTATGCCCTGGGCCCAAGCAGGCCATGGACAAGCTGGGTGAGGGGATCCTGGGCCAAGAAGACTGGCAGGTGGCAGGACATGACTGGGGACAAAGTTCTACCAGGACCTCCACAGAGACCTGTGGAGACCTTTGATTGGTGAGGAATTGTATGAAAGACCAAGTGCCCCAAGTTTCCTGTTTGTTGTGTGAATTTTCTGGTTAAACAGCCTCCAGAACTTTCTGAGCCAAAGCGGTCCCTAGCTGAAATGGGTTACCCTGAGTGGGGTACAGTGAGTCTCCACTTCTAAGGAACAGATGCCAGGGTTTGAAGCAGCAGAAAGGGTGGGGGGGGAATCGCATCCTGCCCTGGCTGTGGGGGCCAGTTCTCGGATACACACTCACTTGAAGTGAACATGTGGCTAGGTGTGGTGTAAACAAAAGTTGGGTACGATTCCACTAAAGGACAACGTTCCTCAAAACTATTCTCTACAAGGCCAGAGCGCCTGGGCTTACGCCTGGGTGTCTAAACCAATTACTCACACTGCATCGTGAAAGAGGGCGAATCACTTTAAAGAAGAAAATATATTTTATGTATAAATATTTTATACATAAAATGTATATACATATGCCCATGAAATATGCATACATAAAATGTATATACACAAGTAAAATGTGTATGTATATACATAAAATGTGTATTTATATATACACACATGCATAAAATGTATATACACAAGTAAAATGTGTATATATATACATAAAATGTGTATTTATATATACACACATGCATAAAATGTATGTGTACACACACACACACACCTAAAGGTATTTTAGAGACTGGAATGCAAATCTGTGATGCACCTTACAAACCCCCACGGATGGCCTGCGGTGGGCGGTACTTCTATTCCTAAGGAGGCAGGGCAGCGGAACCTGGGCCACATATCTGCTGGTCCCTCAGGCAAGGGCCCTTGTCTTGCTCATAGATAACTGGTATCCGGCCTCCTAATGTAAGGGAGGAGTTCAGCTCTAAACGTGCGAGCAGAGAGTGGGATACTTACAAACTTGAGAAGGAAAGTGTTTTCCCGCAGTGCTCCGATGCACCCTGCAAATCCCAAAATGAACATCACTCCTCCCACCACGAGGAAGAGCCAGACTGGGTCAAAGCCGCCGAGGTCGGTGATGGAAGAGATGTTGGACAGGACGCCCTGGAGGTGGAGAAGAACACAAGGCACGGACGTGGGGTCAGCTCTGGCACTGGTCTTTCTCCTCCTCCCAAAGAAAAGCCTCAGAGGTAATCTGATTATCAAGCATGATTAACACGAGAGAGAGGGAGACAGAAACAGAAAGAGAGAACGAGGGAGAGACACAGAGAGAAAGACAGAGAAGGAACGACGTGAACTGTGGTCGGTCCTGTACGGAGACGTCACGATGTTCTCTTTGCTCATCATGTCCCACACATAAATGGTCTTGAGTATGAACAGGCATGTAAGAAAACCTACCCCGACACTCAGAAAGGGGCAGGGCATCTTTAGGTCTCAGGACATGCAGGTGTGTGGACAGCTGCCAACCTCAAAGCCCGGGGCACCCTCCGGAAATGAGAACTCACACAGCAGCCAGTCCCACCACCAGCACCTACACGTTTTCCAAGGGAAACGCACCTCAGGGTCCACCGTCGAGCTTCAGGGGAGACCCGATTAGGCTCAGGTCCCAAAAGCCCACATACGTGGTTGGTGCTGACGGCCATTCTACCTTTAGTTCTTCGGGGGGTTCCTTTCCTACCACCCTCTTTTAAGAGTTAGAACTTAAATCATTAAGTCAACTTAAATCAAATGTTATTACTTCGCTTTCAAGTCTTCTATTCTCCAGCACCATACCTACCAAAATAGTAATAATTTCATTTTTCCACAAACAATGCCATTTCTACTAAAAAAAAAAGTTAATTGCCAGAGACTGCATGCATTCACCAAAGAGGAGCGAGCGAGCGAGCGAGCGAGCACTCCTCAGTAGGGCCTGGCACTAATCTTTCTCCTCCACTTCTCCTTCCTGCCAGGATTTGGGGCGTGCATACACAGTCACTTTGCATGTTTTTCAAGTCACCAGGACTGGGATTCAAATTGCAGTTGGGGGAACCAGAAGATGACATAATGGTTACATCACTGGACTCCCATGTAGCTGACCGTGGTTCGAGATTCAGAGCCGGTGGCTTAAAACTCACCCCAGACACGTGTGTGTGCACCCAAAATCCTAAGAGGAGACAGAAGAGAACAGATTGCAGTGTGGCCATCCCCTCTGGGGATGCCGGAGAAGTTAGACAAAATCCCAGCCACAGGGCTAAGGACTAGGCATCGGAAGGAAACCAGCCTCTCCCCAAATGCCTTCACCCACGGGTGTTAGTACTCACCATCTTAATGTTTTTGACCTGCTCATTTGGGGAAGAGAAGACTTTGAAATCCATTACAACATACTTAAACATTTAAGTTCGTTATGGGAGAAGAAGTAGTTCAGAAGAGCTCACAGAGCTGGGACTGACAGAGAGAGATGTTGGCTCCATCCTAAAGCTGCATTCCCAATCTCACCAGGCCTCCAGCAATAGCACAAACTGCCCTTGGAAAGACATGCTTCCCTCCTGGAGGAGCTGATGTCGGGAGCCTCTGGCACCCGTGCACAATGAAGGATTCCCAAACTGGGTGGAAAGTGGGACCTAGCTTCCTACCAGCTTTTTTTTTTTTTTTCCTAACTTATTATTATTATTACTTAATTCGCTATACGGCATGTGCACTCGCTAGAGACAAAGAGAGAAAGAGAAAGGGAAAGCGAGAAAGAAAGCTGCCAGTTCTGGGACTCGAACTATGGTCGACCATGTGGGAGTCCAGTGTTTTAACCACCACACCACACCGTCTGCTGGCCCCACATCCCAGCTTAATGGTATGACTTCACCCAGCTTTAGTGAGCTTTTAATTTGTGACACAGGTCTGAGCTAAGATCAGGTGGTTCCCAAACACTCTCCCAGGGTCTAAGCTTGTACAGGAAGAGCTCAGAGGACAGTAGGAACAAGGACTCGGCCTGGGACACTCAGCCAAGCAAATAAACATACCGGCGCTTCATATGTCGAGATAACCTCTCCCTAAAACCAAAAAGCATGAATCCAACTATCAGTAGATTCCTGGATCACTTGTCCTCTCGGGGTTTAATTTGGAGAATAAGAATTGAGCTTCCCAGACAAACTCATTTTAATAGTTGCTCTCCCCAGCCTGCAGGGCCGGTTTTAATTGAGGGGCCTTCAACTGTTTCCATGGAAACACCAGTCAATTGGGGGCTGAGCCGGACTACAGATTGTGCTCACTTAATCCTGAATTCCAGCAAAAGACAAGGCCAGAGACAGACACTATGGCGAGCTTGGGGAACTGATATTCTGCAAGACATAGAAAAGACTACTGGGAACTTTATTTTTAATGGATTCAGAACCTACTCAGGTAGTGAGTTATCAGATGAAAACCAACTCAAATCCTGAAAACGCACGTGCTGAAACCGATGCTAGTGACCCGTTTTCTTTTCTTTGGGATTTGTTTACTTAGCTAGACAGAGAGGGAAAATGCTTATGTTTCCTCCATGCAGTTTCCCAATCTTCACTGAAGCAGAGCAGTGACTGTCCTGGCCACTCAGAGATGAAAGAGCAGCTGCCCCTTATGCTGGTCAGAGTGATTTGGGATTACAGAAGTGTGGGTGTTGTCAGTGCAGCCTTCCCCTGTCTTCAGGATGCGGTCTCTCACTGAACTTTCTTATTCTGTTAAATTCCATTTGACAAATGAGTAAGCAGCGTTAGTACATGCCTGCTGAGGGAGAGCTATAATAGAAGCTTCTGGTTGACAAGAAGCTGGAAGGAAAAAATCCAAGATTACAGGTTAAACAGATTAAAATAGGCATTCGGTTTCAGGGTAAATCCTCAGGAATGCGAGAACAGCTTGAGAAGACACTGTCTTCTGGGAACCTGCAGCTCCACCCTCTACCCGGAACAGCACCTCTTCCTGAAAAGCCAGAACGTCCCTCCAGGATGCCAGGGTGTAGAACATGCATCGCTCCCAGTGGCTGAAAGCATCGAATGCCAGATGCTGAAGCCATGTGCAGCGTGTCCTGTTTTTCTGGTTTTGTTTGTTTGTTTGTTTGTTTTACCACGTGGAAAAAGTCAGTTTGCAGGGACAGACAGGAAGCCAATACTTCAGAAGAAACACAGAACAAGAGCAGGAAGGGACGATCCAGAAAGCATTTTACATGCCTGGTCTGGCGGTTCCTGAGGCCTGTCAGAGAGTGCATACACTACTCCAGGAGCTTCACAAATACCCACTTGGGGCCGGTAGGTGGCATAGTGGTTAAGGTGCTAGACTCCCACATGGCCAACTACAGTTCGAGTTCTGAACCTGGCGACTTGCTTTCTCACCTTTTTTTTTTCTCTCTCTCAGGTCAAATTTGAAAAAGTGATAATAATAATAAACAAAATTAAATTGGAAAAATAAAAAAGAAATACCCACTTGATTACTCAAGCTCATTCTACTGGGGACTTCATTTGCATCTGAGGAGTCCCGCATAATACCAGGCTCTGAATGAAGTACACTTCGATATCCCGTGTGTGTGCATGTACACACGCACACACACACACACACGCACACACACAAGGGCCAAAACTAAAGTGCACACTCTATGCTGGGGAAAACAAAAGACCAGCTATGCCCACGGGGAGCGGTGAGGAGAAGGAAGTGCTGGTTTACAGCAAGCACTTTCCCCGGTGGGAGCAGTTCAGGCCAACACAGCAATGAAGCCAGCGCACACAGGCTGACTCCCATCAGCTCCCCGTCAATGAAATGGGCAGTTCCAGGAGAAACTGGCAGGTGCTCTGTGTTCCTGACAAATGATACGCAAGTTCTCTATGTGAACTTACTCAGTCCTGAGTTTGAATAAAAACTCAAACATTAAAAAAAAAAAAAAAAAAGTCCAAACTGTCATCTGGCTACTCTCTGCTGGGACCAGAACCACTCACACAGGCATCTGTACCCTATATTACGTTCCTAACCATCTCTCCTACCAGAACCCGACAGGGGTTAACGATGTCAAGGGGACTGGGCTTTGCAGATAACGTCAGAAAACATCATGTGTGAAGCTGAATCCACTTGGATTCATAAAGAGGTGCATAAATAGGTGAGATGCAGAGCAATGAGCCACCCAGATGTGGGCCCTGTAACCCCCCTTGCAGCTGACATGAAAGTAGCATTCTGAATAGTGACAGAAAGAGGACCCAGGATAAGAAGAGACCCAAAGCAAAACTGTGGGTCACAAAAGAAATATATTTTAAAACGTATGGATTCCGAACATAAAAAGAATTTCTTAGACATATATTTTCATTCATTGATTATTGAGGTTATATTAAGTAGAGCTGCTGGGTTGACAGCATAACAGCTAAGTGCTGTGTAGGGAGCTGGATTCCACATGTGCGACCACAGTTTAAATCCTGGCCCTGGCAACTGAAAAACACCAGGAAACATGTGCATGCATGCCCCAAATCCCAACAGGATGGAGAAATGGAGAAAAGATTGTAATGTGACCACACCCCACTAGGGAGTTCTCCCTCTCTCGTAAGCATACATCCTCTCTGGCAACTAGGGGAAAAAAAGATATGAATGAACCTATTCGCAAGAATTCTCCATGTTTACACATAGACATTTCCCATGTCTACATTCTTCCTGGGCCCTCAGTCTGCTCCTCTCCCGCCTCCAAGTCTGCAGTGCGCTCCAGCAGGCAGCAGAGGCCAAAGCAAATGGACCATAACATAAAGTGCTGCTCGGAGACAAAATGAACACCAGTCAATTAAAAAAGTCGAAAGCAACAAATATATTCAACAAACTGGCCATTCTGCAAATTAGCTTTTGGACAACTAGCTTTTGGCATATCAACTTAAAGCCTTTACGACTTGCTCCTCCAGTGAAAAAGGGAAAATTTCCATTATCTACTAGGTACTAAGTATCAGTATCTCTTAGAACTTAGCAGAGACCAGTAAGAGTCTGAAAAGAAATGAGGCATGTTAACAGAATCAGTCTGAGGCGATATCATTACAACAGATGTTTAGGGCATCAACGAGCAAATACGCATCCGTGTGTGTCCATCAAGGTGCAGAGGAGCTGTGATGTGCCAGGACTTGAGGCTGCTCGAGACTGGG